CTCTGTCAATTACAGGCAAAAATCATGGTAGTCTTCGTAGCGGTGACCGGGAAGTAACCAATGATAACCGGCCATCGTCGGAGCAACCGGAAGAAAGGTAATCCGTCCTGGTTTTATGTTACGTCCCCAGTCTACAAGCAACTTTCACCGGGTTTGCTACGGAAACGTCAAAATGAAAAGTATTGGGCTGTGTGAATTGGAGTCAAAAATGACCGTAGTCTTGGTAATGGTGACCGGGAAGTGAACAAAGATAACCGGCCATCGTCGGACCAACCGGAAAAATAGCTCATGCGTCCTGGTTTTGTATTGCGTTTAGACTCTGTAAGGAACTTTCCCCGGGTCTGCTACGCAAACGTGGAAATGAAAAATATTATGCTGTGTGAATTGCAGGCGAAAATCATGGAAGTCTTGGTAATGGTGACCGTGAAATAAAAAATGAGAACCGGCCATCGTCGGATCAACCGGAAGAAAAGAGCATCGGTCCTGGTTTTGCATTGTGTTTAATGTCTGTAAGCAACTTTCACGGGGTTCGCGACGCAGACGGGAAAATCAAAAATATTATGTATATCAATTGCAGGCAGAAATCATCGTAGTGTTGGTAATGGTGACCGGGAAGTAACCAATGATTACCGGCCATCGTCGGACCAACCGGAAGAATAGATCGTCGGTCCTGGCTCTGTATTGGGTTTAAAGTCTGTGAGCAACTTTCACCGGGTTTGCTATGCAAACGCGAGAATCAAAATTATTTAGTTGTGTCAATTGCACGTTAAAATCATGGAAGTCTTGGTAATGGTGACCGGGAAGTAACCAATGATAACCGGCCATCGTCGGACCAACCGGAAGAAAAAATCATCCGTCGTGGTCTTGTATTCCGTTTCCAGTGTGTAAGCAACTTTTAGCGGGTTTGCTCCGCAAAGGGGAACATCAAATATACTGGGCTGTGTCAATTGCAGGAAAAAATCATGGTAGTCTTGGTAATGGTGACCGGGAGGTAACCAGTGAGAATCGGCCATCGTCGAACCAACCGGATGAAAAGATCATAAGTCCTGGTTTTG